AGTTTATCGAAGCCAGTTTTCATACACAATCGTTGAATCGAGAAAAGTGTTGCGTGTCTGACTACGATGATAAAAGCTATGGAGTAACTGTGTCCAAAAGAGGGTCCAGAGATTGTTAATGGAGAAGAGAAGTTGATCAGTCGTCGTCCTGTCAAAAAACCACGCCCGCCGCTGGCAGGCATGAAAAACAACTGCAATGGACTAAACACACACTGAAAAGTTACTTCAGCAGACTGGAGTTGGGTAATACAAACTTTTAATACATTTAAACCACTAGTGAATTTCAATCAATATAGATTTTTTGTAATAGTCTAATAGATATTTTGTCAAACGAATCAACATTTCAAATTTTGGTCGCCTAAAGTTCCGACAAAATTTGTCCGTCAACCGTCCTTTTCCATTCAGACTACCTAATGGAAAAAGCTAAACACCCAGTTACTGTCTTGGGTGGTGTACGATCTCAGCGAAGGGCAAATGGGGCGCCTAAACATCGTAGAAGAGACCTATAAGGAAATTCCAAGGCCATAAGGCAATTCCGATCGCCAAGCAATTGATCACAACCAAGAGCCAGATAATTGCAGTTCTGCAACAAAGAATAAGCATTACAACATTGAACTGCAACAAATGCAAAAGCCTGCGTGAAAGCATGCCGCGCGCATTGAAGCTGTAAATGCATCGAAGGTCGTCTCACTAAATACTAGTATTATTTTTATTTTAAATAGTTTTACCTAAATATCTTATTGCTTTTATGTTTTTAGTAAATACACTATTCTGAATAGAAATACCTATGAGACCAAAAATCAATAATTAAATCATTAATCATTATATATATATGTGTGTGTGTGTGTGTGTGTGTGTGTGTGTGTGTGGTGTGTGTGTGTGTGTGTGTGTGTGTGTGTGGTGTGTGTGTGTGTGTGTGAGTGTGTGTGTGTGTGTGTGTGTGGTGTGCGTGTGCGTGTGCGTCGCTGCGTGTGCGTGTGCGTGTGCGCGTGCGCGTGCGCGTGCGGCGCGTGCGCGCGCGTGCGGCGTGCGCGTGCGCGTGCGCGTGCGCGTTGCGCGTGCCGTGCGCGTGGGGTGTGCGTGTGCGTGTGCGTGTGCGTGTGCGTGTGCGTGTGCGTTGGGTGTCGTGGTGCCGTGTGCGTGGTGCGTGTGGCGTGGTTGCGGTGTGCGTGTCGTGTGCGTGTGCGTGTGCGTGTGCGTTGGCGTGGTGCGCGTGTGCGTGTGCGTGTGCGTTGTGCGTGTGCGTGTGCGTGTGTGTGCGATGTGCAGTGTGCGTGTGCGTGTGCGCTGTGCGTGTGCCGGTGCGTGTTGCGTGTGCGTGTGCGTGTGCGGTGTGGCGTGTGCGTGGCGTGTGGCGTGTGGGTGTGGCTGGCGTGTGCGGTGGTGTGGTGTGGGAGTGATGGGTGTGGGTGTGGTGGGGTGTGGGTGTGGGTGGGGTGTGGGTGTGGGTGTGTGTGGGTGTGGGTGTGGTGGTGGTGTGGGTGTGTGTGGTGTGGGTGTGGGTGGTGTGGGTGTGGGTGTGGGTGTGGGTGTGGTGGTGGGTGGGGTGGTGGTGTGGGTGTGGGTGTGGGTGTGGGTTGGTGGTTTGGTGTGGGTGTGGGTGTGGGTGTGGGTGTGGTGTGGTGTGGGTGTGGGTGTGGGGTGTGGGTGTGGGTGTGGGTGTGGGTGTGGTGTGGGTGTGGGGTGTGGGTGTGGGTGTGGTGTGGGTGGTGGGTGTGGGTGGTGGGTGTGGGTGTGGGGTGGGGTGTGGGTGTGGTGTGGGTGTGGTGTGGTGTGGGTGTGGGTGTGGGTGTGGGTGTGGGTGTGGGTGTGGTGTGGGTGTGGGTGGTGGGTGTGGGTGTGGGTGTGGGTGTTGGTGTGGGGTGTGGGTGTGCGTGTGCGTGTGGCGTTTGTGCGTGTGCGTGTGCGTGTGCGTGTGCGTTGTGGCGTGTGCGTGTGGCGTGTGCGTGTGGCGTGTGCGTGTGCTGTGCGTGTGCGTGTGCGTGTGCGTGTGCGTGTGCGGTGTGCGTGTGCGTGTGCGTGTGCGTGTGCGTGTGCGTGTGCGTGTGCGTGGCGTGTGTCGTGTGCGTGTGCGTGTGCGTGTGGCGTGTGCTGTGCGTGTGGCGTGTGCGTGGCGTGTGCGTGTGCGTGTGGCGTGTGCGTGTGCGTGTGCGTGTGCCGTGTGGCGTGTGCGTGTGCGTGTGCGTGTGCGTGTGCGTGTCGTGTGCCGTGTGCGTGTGCGTGTGCGTTTGTGCGTGTGCGTGTGCGTGTGCGTGTGCGTGTGGCGTGGTGCGTGTGCGTGTGCGTGGTGCGTGTGCGTTGTGCGTGTTGCGTGTGCGTGTGCGTGTATGCCGTGTGCGTGTGCGTGTGCGTGTGCGTGTGCGTGTGCGTGTGCGGTGTGGCGTGTGCCGTGTGCGTGTGCGTGTGCGTGTGCGTGGTGCGGTGTGCGCGGGGGGGTGCGTGTGCGTGTGCGTGTGCGTGTGCGTGTGCGTGTGCGGTGCGTGGTGCGTGTGCGTGGTGCGTGTGCGTGTGCGTGTGCGTGTGCGTGTCGTGTGCGTGGTGCCGTGTGCGTGTGCGTGTGCGTGTGCGTGTGCGTGTGCGTGTGCGTGGTGCGTGTGCGTGTGCGTGTGCGGTGTGCGTGTGCGGTGCGTGTGGCGTGTGCGGTGTGCGTGTGGCGTGGTGCGGTGTGCGTGTGCGTGTGCAGTTGTGCGTGGAGCGTGTGCGTGTGCGTGTGGCGTGTGCGTGTGCGTGTGCGTGTGCCGTGTGGTGATGCGTGGTGCGTGTGCGTGTGCGTGTGCGTGTGCGTGTGCGTGTGCGTGTGGGTGTGGTGTGGGTGTGGTGTGGGTGTGGGGTGTGGGTGTGGGTGTGGGTGTGGTGTGGGTGTGGGGTGTGGGTGTGGGTTGTGGGTGTGGGTGTGGGTGTGGGTGTGGGTGTGGGTGTGGGTGTGGGTGTGGGTGTGGGTGTGGGTGTGGGCTGTGGGTGTGGGTGTGGGTGTGGGTTGTGGGTGTGGGTGTTGGTGTGGGGTGTGGGTGTGGGTGTGGTGTGGGTGTGGGTGTGGGTGTGGGGTGGGTGTGGGTGTGGGTGTGGTGTGGGTGTGGGTGTGGTGTGGGTTTGTGGGTGTGGGTGTGGGTGTGGGTGTGGTGTGGGTGTGGTGTGGGTGGTGGGTGTGGGTGTGGGTGCGTGGGTGTGGGTGTGGGTTGTGGTGTGGGTGTGGGTGTGGGTGTGGGTGTGGGTTGTGGTGTGGTGGTGGGTGTGGTTGTGGGTGTGGGTGTGGTGATACTTTTCCTCCCATATTTACCCACATGTCCTGCTTCTATGGGTTTCTTCTGAGCATTTTTTTTTCTTTTATTCTGTTAACGACGTTTTTTAAACGCCTGTAATAGTTGCTATATTTCTCTATGAATGCACAGAGTGACGTAATAGTGTATAGAGTGACGTAGTAGAATGTATAGAGTGACGTGTGTATGTCTCTAATTTTCCTTGGAGAGGGGTCTGAAGCCTTACCATACTAAAAAAGAAACTTTGAGGTTGTGCCGTGCGTTCGTAGAAGGTATATTGAAAGAAGTTATGTAGTTATACACCAGAAAACTGCAAATTTTCGGCAGAAAAACTATTATTGCCGGGCCCTAGTAACAAAAAAGCGGATAAAATAGCTTCGGTGGTGTAACAGAAAGCGTATCGGACTGTCTTGCGTAAGTTCGTAGGTTCAAAGCATATTGAAGATTCGTTTTTTAAAGCCTATCGAAGCTGTGGTTTGGTTAAAACATCCTTCGTACGTCTTCCTTCGGAGGAGACGTAAAGCCGACTGTCTCATGTTGTAGATTTACTATCTGAAAATGACCCTCACGTCTAAATGAAGCATCTGAGCAAAAATAGTAGGTCTCGTGGCGTGAGCCTCATTATAGAGAATAATGCATTATTGATTGAACCCATGTTTTGTAAGACCTTGAAATATAAAAAACGATTTTTGGCAAAACGATTGTCTGTCTGTAGTCAACGCTAGCGCCTAAACATTTCAGCCGATTTTCATAAATATTGATATTTCCCAAATGATAAGGATGATGTCGCTACCTCCGAATTTGAAACAGATATTTTAATTTTGGGGGGTACTTTAGATGAAGGTAATTTTCAAAATTTTCAAATTTTGATATGAATAAATTTTGTAGGTGGATAGTATAAAGGCCGCTGAAAAAATCAAAAGTCTCATTTACTTTGAAATTTCTAAATTTTCGGAAATTGCAAAATTTAGAATTTTTTCAACGTCTTCCTACATGTACAATTGTGAATATAGAAAATTTCTCGTAATGAAATCTGTTCATCAAAATCAGATAAATAAAGTCATATTTAATTTTTTAAAGTTATTTGAGGTTTTGGCACACTGTTTTAAACACAGATATATTTAACAAAATTAAATGGTTATTTTTAAAAAAACTGTTCCAATTTTTTTCTTTACATTTTTGGTGATGGTCTTATATTTGGTGCATATTGTCTTTTAAAATATTGCAAAGAAATTCGAAAGTGTAAATTCGAATTTCGCGCTTCGTTTGACGGTTTGTCAGTTCGCAAAATGGCAACACAGTGGTTTCACAATTCTTCGAATTCACCCCATTGTTGTCAGTCGTGATAATTATATAATGTAGATAATATTCGGATGCAAAGAAATGAGTTGAAGGAAAAAAAATAATTTAACTTAGAAGTAACAAACACACTTTTTTACTTCATTAAGGTGTGATCGCTGATTATTGCATTACAAAAATTAATACTCACTTCAATGAAATCAAGGCATTATTCTTACTTATTCTTACAAGGCAGGGATTTCCACAAGAGCAACACGGCATAGTGTAGGAAAAGTTATGAAGACGTACTATTAATGGCACAATCGTAAAAAAAGCCAACTGCGTGAAACACTCAGACGCAAGTTTATTTCGAAGTAACGGAATCCGAAGAAGACAGTAACCGGAAGGCTGTTTGTAAACGAAAATACATTAAAATATATTTTTTCATATGCCTTTATTCAATTGTCATTTAATAACTGTAATCAAAATTAAACATTATTTTAATATTTCTTCTTTATTAAAAATCATATGGCTTGAGTCTGGTCTGACCGACTGGGGAAAATTCAGTTAGCCAAAAATACTAAGACTTTTAGGTACTAGAATTGTTCACTGACGGATGGACGAAAGGATGAGCAGACAGGGACGTTTTTAATAAAACAGCGTTTTTGTTATTAAATAACCTAAAAAATGGATTCTAACTTCACTACTCGTTAGAGAAGTAACATTGTAGTTAAATGTTTTTTCCATTTTTTACAATATCATCCCAAATAATACTGAATGAGGAAAGTCTGAAAATTTTATATTCACTATATTAGTTTTATAGTTGTGATTTAATGATCCTCGATTTGAAGAAATGAATTAATTACCTCAGAACTATACACTAATACAAACATATTTTAAGTTTTTTTATGGATGAAGAATTGGGAAAAAATACTGATAATCGGTTGGGGGTTGTAATTAACATATGAAAAGATAAAAGCTTCTTTACAGCTTTCAACATTCAATGTCAATATTCTATCATTTAGCATGACTAAGAAACCCGAAACTGTCATATTAATTACTGCATTTACTCATCGAAAGCACATTAACGATTTAAATAATGTTGATAAGATTCTTCAAAGAAGTAAACATCACTCATCACTCATCAGGTACATTTATCCAGTTGTGTACGAGTCTTAACTTGAAAACTTCCTCCACTATATAAACAGCACTGTTTTTCACTAATGAACATGCACTTAAATCGTTTAGGTATCTTCTTTTTAATTAATTTATTTATTTGTGGTCGTTTTATAACGTCAAGGTAATCAGCGACCCCTGTCATTATACAATTGTATACACAAACATAATAGTTACAATTATTGCAAGGTCAAAAATGTTTAATCTAACTACAATTCTAATACGTTATGCAGCTATATAAGGCTGTAGTTTTGTAGTTTGCAAGAATGTTACGTGTGCCTCTAAAAGATGGAAGAGGAAAGCGCAATAACAGACCTCATGGTATCAAGTACAAAAATCTTGGAAGATAAACGAATACTCAAAATACTTTCCAACCAAAAATTGCACACTACTCTGAAGTTTAGACCGAGTGAATTGAACATCAAAACACCGTCTGTTCACAAAAAATATTAAGCAAAAGGAAAATGTTATAATAAAAGAACTCTATTTAAGTTTCAACTTGAAATTTGTACAACCACATATTATAATTCTTACGTGCACGCATAAAACAATAAAATGTGGTATTATTGTGGTATATTGTTATTTTGGAAGGCATTTGTTTGGAAACTTCGTAGACATGAAAAACAGTACAAGCCCCCAGTTTTTGTTTAAGTTATAACACATTATTAATAAAGTTTAATCGCAATTATTCTTCACAACATATTCGTCTAGCTTGGTACATTGCAGAATAATGAAATTGTTTAAATTCCCACAGTTTTTTTTCATATCCAATAAACTATATAACTTGAATTATATGAAAATGAACTTTTATGGACTAGTATTTGTTTTTTTTCCGCTCACCCACTCAGTTATATAGGCTACTTTGTAATTCATCAGAAACGATTTAACGAAAAACAACGAATCAAGTTAGTTCTTAACTTGTCTGTATTTTTCAGTCACACACTCGGTAGGGGAAAATGGAATGTGAGAGTATTGCGTATTTAAATCTTATCAGATATTTTTAATATTTAATATGTAATAGAAAAAGAATATTGAGAAGATCTGTGAGGAAAATTAACATCATTGATGAACAATTTAATAAAAATGATGCCAAGTAACTTGTAATAGGTGCTGCGTACTATAATAACGGTTAACATTTATTTATTCAATTATCAATAAATCTATAAAAATTAATGCAAATTAGGCAATACGATCGTGAAAAATGATATTTGTAAAATCTCATCTCAGCTTACTCAGCTAGAAATTATAGTTCAGTATGGTTATCCTGGCTAATTTATCATTTAAGACTTTATTCAGTTCATAAATATTTGCTGATAGGTGCGTTATACAACACGTCCTTGAGTATTTGACAAGTGCTAGACTGAACCTAATTGTACGCACGACCAGGTGACACATTCTTCGAATTGGATTCGGTCAGGAATATTTTCTATTATCACCCACCAAACTATTCCGTGATGTGATTCACTGTACTAATCCAAAACTCGGGTCGCATTCTACCGCAGTTCTCAACAGAAGCTAACGTCTTCTGCCAGCGAAGTACGTCGCCCGGTTTCAAGAAGCTGCGGAGAAGAAAGAGTACAACGCCAAGGCGTTCCAGAAGTAAGAAAGACGGAATGGATCTGGGAACGTGGGTCTGAAATGATATGCATTTTTATTCTGTACGGTATGCCACGTCTCCAAATAAGTAAGTGTATTCTGGTTCTCCGATCACGATTCAGTGATGGGTGAGAGATATTCTCAATCAAAGTCAAATTCCACGCAGAGAGGAGTGAATTAGCTACAGTAACAAATTTGTTAATGATATTCAATGGGCAATTCATATACCTCTATCTGCATAAATCCTTCCATATGAATTTTAATTTTAATAAGTATTTAATTTATGTTTATATTAATTTATTTTCAAACCTCTATTTAGCTCCAGTAGTGGACACTTAAAAATTGCAAAATTTTGGTCGTGACTGATTCTGTTATTTGGTAGTAATGATTGATTAAATCAAAATAAAAGACTAATTTTCGATAATTAATTTTGAAACTATCAAAAGTGCTTCTGTTGCTAATGTGAAGCTGCTCTGCAAGAACAGACGGCGATAAAAATGTTTAAATTTTTTGTCAATAAAATATTGAAAAATAATTTATTTTGACATTGATTTATTACTGCACACTCTCACAGTGGCAGCAGCTTACCTTGTCCTAGTTCTAAGCTTCCTCAAAGCACATTTTGGTTTAATGATTTTTAGCGACTCTCTAACGACAGAAGGTTTTTGTAGTTTCATTACAAAAAATACCATAAGGTATCCAAATAAATTTAGTTTGCATCGAAAAACTCAATTAGTTCAAAAAGAAAGAAACGCGTAAAAAATTAAAAACTACGAAGTGGTGCCAACCCGTCTCCCTAATCGCTGAACAATTTAACTGCTCAAAATCTCATTTTAAAAGCTTTTCAAGCTCAGAAACAATGCAACTCGTATGTCACTTAAATTTGTGACTGTCGTGAGCTAAATTACTGAAACGTCCGCCGATCATGTTGTCGCCAGTACTGTGCACGTCTGACCCTACTTGTCATAGACTTTCAGTTTTTATTCGACTATGCAACGAAAGGAGAGTGATGACTTCCACCGCATTTTGTGAACGAATGATACATTGCAACGTTGAGCTATGACGTCCACATCCACGAAAGAGTGGCGAGGTGATATGGCTTGTGAATGTAATAATGCAGTTACGTATAGGTGTTCTCTTTTTCTGACCACTAGTGTGTTCCATTGCTGTGAACTATTAAGGCATATGATTTAGCGAAATAGTTTTAAATTAACAAACAATACAAGAGCTGAACCCATAACCTTGTATCAATCAACAGATTCTGAAGATGAGAGAATCCAACATTCTCATTTCAAAGTGAGAGAGAATAAAGTTACGAGCTGTCTTACTTACAACGCTATATTAATTGCGTGTTCGCGCTATATGTAGTTACAAACTAGTGGTGCTAATACAGCACTTACTGTTTTGGCCCTTAGTAATGTTTAAGTAATACTATTTATACCACAAATTCTGTCCGAACCAATATATTTCAGTCATAATTTGTTGTAAAACTCATTACAAATTGTAGAACATTTGGTGCAAAAACTAAATATTTTCAAGCTTATATCATCACATATTTGACGATTATAACTGATTTTCATACAGCTACATCGTGTCCCAATGATACGTAATTCTCAAAACTTCAGTTGGTGACGCGTGAGCCGCAATGCCATTGTTGCATTCGAATCTGATATTACTTTAAGGCTAGCAATTTTTCTTTCATATATTTCAAATAGATATTAAATAATTTCTAAAAGATTAATTTATGAACGTATAACAAAAGCTCGAATGTGGGAAAAGAACAGAAATATCAAATTATATCCACATTTAACCTTACGTGGAATATAACTGTCTCGAATCACCTGTAATACGTTCAGGAAATTCGGAGAGGGTAACTATGTTTGACGCCAAATTATACAAAAAATACTCATATTTTCGAAAAATTTAACGTAAACTTATTTGAAGATCTGTTCAAAAAAATGTATCTTTGCAGTTGTAGTATGTATGCAATTGCAGTTGTAGGAAGGCCGAAAACATTTAATTATTTTAAACTTCAGAAAAATCAGGCATTTTAACGAACATGGGATCTGCACCGTGATTTGTGAAGCGTGTTTGTTTGTGCATTGCCATATTTTTAGAACGAGGTGCAATAGTTAGGTGTTATAAAGAACGCTGAGTGGGCCGTACCACACTTTTACACAAAACGAACGCTTTTCTTTAAGTTTCGATAAGAATATTTTATAGTAAACATTACTACTTGGATAATTTTGAAAGTCAGGAAAACCCGAAACAAAACACATATTTCATTTGCGTCAATGGAATAGGTACCTACATCGATCATCTACTGCAGGAAAAAAAATATCATAAGCATAGCTCGTATAGTTCAATTCTGCCAAAACACAATGAAATAAATTTTGAGTTCCGTGTTTAAAACTTGTGGCTCTTAAAATAAATATATCAAACGCTCAATAATATTGATGGAAACATGGTGTAAAAGGTGTTCTGCTAATAAGTAATTTAAATTGTTATAAAATAAAAGTCATTACTCCAAATATGCTTATTTTGTTTTTACCAGTATTGCAGCTCATTCAGAATACTTACAACGCAGCATCTTGTAAGAAGACGCTGCGCCTGGACTAATACGGTTACGATTGTGTAGTTTGATTGTATACGATTGTGTAGTTTGTTTTAGGATTGTGTAGTAAAATTTTCGTGATAAGCCTTAATAATCATTTGAATATGTTGTTTTCCTTATTAAATCTTACTTTCACATCTTTAAAACACTTCTGCGTAATCCAAAACATTATTCTCACGGTGAAATTAATTGCGTGATAAGAATGCACTACATCGTTTGATTGAAAGACTTTTCTTCTAGGTCTTTCTTATTGCGAAAGAACTGAGGAATGAAACACTTTACAACTCGAATCATGTATTTATTTCAGATAGAAGGTTAATTCTATTACGAGCACATTTCTAATTCTTTTCCAAGAGATCAAATCAATATAATATTATCCATCTGTGGTCGAAGAAGCAGAAGTGGTGGCGTTTTCTCTGATAGGATAAGGAATAATGGGGCAGCCACTTTGCCCAGGACGACACGGCCGCGGTCCCCAATGATGATTCGGTGCAGCGACTGCCAAAG